GAGAGAGGTGGGAAGAAAAGGAGGAGTTGGAGGTTATGGTCGCTGCAGAAAGTCTTATCTGTCTGCAGTCACAGGATGCCAAGAAAAGACCCCAGAAGGCAAGCTGTGATATTATGGGGGGAGTGTGTGTGGGGAAGTGTGTGTGTGTGTGTGTGTGTGTGTTCTGGATTTCATATATTTCACCTAATCGCTCTCAAATCGGGACACCTGAGGCGTGAAATGGATGCCTGTCCCAACAGAGGGCACCCAGGACTTCAGACACAGTCATTCCAAAGGGCTCTGGATGGACTGGATGTGTTTCCATTCACGGAGAAACTAAATCCTTCCCATCATGCTTTGCTCTTAAGCATCACATGACTATCATTTGTTTCGGGGAGATGCGGGTTCCAGGGGTCAGCCGGGCTTCTGTTGATACCAACGTGACTCTGCTGGGGAGGGGATTGCATCCAGAAACAAATTGAGTCAATAAAATGGTAAGAGGTTACTACCTTGGAAACATTAAGAAAAAGAAAGACAGGTTTTGTTCAGCCAAAAATATCCAAATGTTATTCATCGCTCAACTGAATAAATATTGTACTTAAAAAGTTGCCCTGAGGGTTTTTTCGAAAGGAACTTCAACACAAAGACGGTCCTATATTTAGGCACGATGCAAAAGGACAGGTTTTCCATGGATGGGGTGCAGACGTTCATGCTCCCCAGATGATGAATCATAATAATTTGGGGGCTTTCTAAACTTTCTACAGATGAAACAAACATATCAAATGTCCATTGGGTTCATACAAAGTCTATAAGCTAATGTGTTAGCATGCTAATAGGCTTAACGTAGATGGTGAACATCATACCTGCTGATGCTAATCAAATTTTGTGATTTTTTTTTAACGTTTTCTATTACGTGTGATGTATCTTGAGGTTTACCGCCTAGGGCAGGGGTGTCAAACTCAAATACACAGAGGGCCAAAATTAAAAAATCGTTACTAGTCGAGGGCCGGACTGGTTCAATGTTTATAGCAAAACGTATTGAAATGAACTTATTGCATATATTAAACCTGGAACTAACAAAGCTTAAATTATTGCCTATAAAAACAACTCTTATGATTGTATTTCTCCACAGGCCAACAACAGCTTCAAACAATTTCCCTCAAAGAAACCATGCCATATTGACCATGCCCTGTTGTCGCAAGAAAAAAAGTGCAGAAGGAAACATCCATGTAAACTCAGTGTGCTGCTCTGTGATGCTAGTTCAAGCAGATACTTGGCATCTCATCTTGGGTACAAGTTCATCAATGTTTGGGCTCAGGCTCTGAGCTGAGGAGACCCTCAGGATTGAGTGAAGGTGCAATATACCGGCGGGCCAGATCGAATAGTAATTAAAAAGGATCCTGCGGGCAGAAATTAAATCCACCAAGGGCCTGATTTGGCCCCCGGGCCTTGAGATTGACACATGTGGCCTAGGGTTTCAACAGGCTGTTCTTCATCTAACTTGTCTTTTGCCATGTTGGACATTTGCCCAATGGACATCCAGTAGGGTAGACACTCACTATTTTCAGTCAAATTTATTCCAATACTAATCTACTTTTCCCCCCATGGTTTAGTACTCATAAAAACGAAGTATCACAGAGATTTCCAAACACGAAAAGCCTAAACTCGTGACTCCCTTTCACAGACAACAGGACAACCGGATTTCACTTTGAAACATTACCATTCAGAGTAAATATAAATGTAAAAACCCTGCAGCCTCCTGCAAATAAAAAAGTAGAACATTACTGAAACTAGGAGGTTAATGTTAGTAACTACCAGCTGTGGACTGAATCACAGGGGAAGAGATATGTTAAGAGTGTGTGTGTGAACATGCTGAGAGGCAGAAGCTGTGTGTGTGGAGGCGAAAAGAGATATAACCTTTGTTTACGAGTGCAGGCGGGCCGGCTGACAGCGTGTGTAAGTCAATGGGGGCCGGCCCACTCGGAGATCTACTGGCAGGCATTAATCAAACACCAGGGGGGCGGAGCTAACTCTGCTCTAGGCTCGTAGTACGGCCGGAGTGTTGACCGGAGCAAGCTCGCCCCACCGACTCTCGTTTCACTTGTGTGACCAACGTCGCGGTGTCGGACCTGTTGGACACGCCTACCTGGGCGGACCGTGGGCGACCGAGACCCCCAGTACACTGCTTCTCCTTCTTCTCACGTCCTAAACAACAAACAAATGACAAATAGACTTTTTGACAGTGCTTTGGACTTCTTGAAGCGAGTTTTCAGGACTTTCAATTGTCCCCACCGTTTGTTGCCGGACAGTGTCAACTATCACATATAGACCTAAAAAAAAAAAAAAACTTTAGTTGGTAAGAGGGGGGGAAATACACACCTAAGACAAGGTATTGAGCGTTACTGCGCCGAAAGACCACACTACCGGCGGCCATCTTTATGCACCGACCAGTTTTACTCGGTGAGCAAGTTCGACAAGCCAGAACACAACTAAAGTGCGGCGTAGCAAACTAACGGAAAGAGAGGGTTTTGTCGGTAACCAAGGAAATTTACAACATAAATCGGCTGTTGACACACGGAGAAAAGATAACACGTGAGGAACTCCACTTAAATAACAGGGCACTTGTCTAATACGAGAAATAAAAATAAGGTTTCGGTACAAGAATATAAAGCAGGGGGGGGGGAGTCGGACAGACATTACTATTGTAACAAGACTTGAAGTCCCGCACTCGACTGTGACAGGACTCGGTACGATGCCGAAATTCAGTCGACACAACGATAGGAGAAAGCAAAACATTTTGCCCAGTTACGGAAACAAGTTGTCTCACAATTAAAGAAGTACAGTTATTCGTAACAACCAAAATATTTTACGAGAAAAACTATGCTTAGACGAAAACGAGCAAACTGATTGGAGATGGTGTGGAAGTATTAGGGATAGAATATACAATAAATATACAAATTAAGGAGAGACGAAAAACCCAAAGGGAATAGACATCACACACATATACCGAAAACCACGTAGCAGTCTGCCGCCCGCGCAGCCGACCCGAACACAACAAAACACGACAAAACAACACAACAAAGAAAAAAAACAACAAGAAAAAATACAACACAAAAAAAAAGAATTACACAAAGACAGAGTACACAAATTGGAAAAAAGAAAAAAGAGGGGGAAGGGAGGGGAGGAGTTAAACAATAAAAAAAACGAATGAAGTCCATTGTATTACTTAGCTGAAAAAATCGAAGAAACAGATCGCCAGGCTTGTGTAACCATAGACACATACAGACGCCAAAACAGTACCCGAAACACTGTTAGTCACAAAGCAACACGAAAGTACATTTCCACGGACATACGTGTCCGCATACCTTTTATTATCTCGAAAAACTTAATTAACGTACCTTTACAGTGTCACACTATATATTTAAGTTTATACTTACTTAGGGTGTCCAGGTGAAAGCTAAAAGTTATTAAGATTAGATACATTACAGGTAAACATCAACAACAAAGACTTAACAATAATCTGACAATTTCGACGTGTATTATCCGTCAAGGGGAGACGAAAGTGTAGATAAAACAATAGACACACTCAGGATATTAGAGAACTTCTCGGAATAAGAGCAAAACCAATAAAACGAAAAACAAACAGGACAAAAACAACCATTAATTGAGTACGACACTTTAGTGAAGCGTCGCTAAAGAGACCGCAATCGCTACTATACACGAATAGCGGCCGGCGAGCGCCACGTGTCAATCACAGCTGAAAATACCTCAAAAAAACAATAATCAACACCCACAAAAAAAACCAACAAACACCGAAACAACATTTACGGACTGACACAGAAAACATATATACACGAGCATTATGTTAAGTCCCAGATATGGTTTGAATAAGCAATTAACCTATCCAACGTAACTAATTGGACATACAACACAGAGGGAAGGGAAACCTAATCCCAAATCAGACAGCTCCATCACTTCACACACACAGCAAAGGGAGCGCACGTGGACGGACCAC